AAACATGTAATGAGAATGAGCTCTATCCAGAAATGGGAGGGAGAGCAAGGGAGGGGTAAATTAGAGTAGAAATCTTTTGGATGCAGGCAAACAGGTGGGGGGTTGTCTGGTCTGTGAAGGCAGGGTGTCTGCAATCTTTGTAGCGATTAGATTTAATGGGACAGACACGTTTCTCTCCTTTGCATCCCCTCCTCCTCTCAGCCCGAGGGGGAGAAAGGAGGGAGGTGGTGATGGGGAGGTGGCAGGGGAAGAGAAGATTTGAAAGAGTCTTTGACGTCAGCCCTGCCCTATAAAAAGCTGGCAAGGAGCTGGAAAGCAGACAGCAGAGCTTGTGGAAGAGCAAAGATGCCAACCCCGAACATCTCCACCTCTGCAGCCAAAGGCTTCCGCAGGGCGGTGTCAGAGCTGGACTCCAAGCAAGCTGAGGCCATCATGGTAAGACAACTCTACCCCACTTCTTTCCCTCCCCCTCCAAAACCCACAACTTCTCCCATAGCTATAGGCAGAGAGAGGCAGGAATAGATGGACCAACATTGCCTCTGTGGGAGTTCGCCGACATGGGCACCTCCTGGCTCTTGGCTGGGAAAGGAAAATTACTCAAGCAGTTCTCTCTACATATTGGTACATGTGAAATGCAAACATTTAGGGGGGTGAAAACTTGAACTAATACAATGCCCACCACCTCAGCCAAAAGTAAGGTGAATAACCCACAGACTTAAGGCAAGAATAGCAAGGAATCCCCAGTGTGAAAGGTAATTTGAAAATCTTAATGATCTCCTAGTTTCAAGACATTATACCTGTTCTAGCATAATAAAAAAGTGGGGCTCTTGTTTTAGACTGCACACAAGGCACAGGCAGTTTAACTAGTGTGTTCACTGCTGTTGTGTCCATAGTTTATCTCTCAAAACATCCTTTCCCCATTTCTGTTCCCAGTCTTCCCTGATGTGGTCTCAGCCCTATGGTTAGCCTGGGGAATGCTTCTGCACACACCAAATCTGAATCTGTCAGGGAAAGGAGAGAAAAACTTCCCAATGAACTCTCAAGTGCCTTTAAAAAGCCAAGCCTAGCCAACCCATTGGACTGACTGTAGGGACAGGAACATTTCACCTCCTAACCCCAAAGCCTCGGCAGGCAGGACAAACCTGAAGAGTCCCAGCATGGGACAGTCTTGTGGGTCTCAGCTGTGTGCAGGCTGCAGGTGATGCTGAGGGAGCCAGAGCAGCCAGTGGCAATGGGAGCACCAGGAGGGGACCACCTGGGGATGCTGGGCAGGAGAAAACTCAGGAATAGAGATGTGTTAGGTAGCAGATGTGTTTGGTAGATGTCTGCAGCATGACTCCAGCAGGTCAGTTATAGAGCGCCCCAGTTCCTTCCCCTATGCTTGCTGCCTTTTTCGTTCACCCTTCTCTTAACCCTGTGCAATGCTCTGCCTTGCTAAAATCAGCCACTACATTGACAGACAGGTATTTTGGAGAGTGGAGTTTGCTGGGAAGGAAGTGAAACATTTAGGAAACAGGGACATAAAGTTGCCTTCTCTAATAAATGGAAATCAGGGAAGGCTTCCCGCTAACAGTCATTTTCATTTCGGCAAAATAATGAACACGTAAGTGGTTCTTGAAAACCTGGTATTTTTCAAGCAGCCTGTAAAATCAGTATTTGAGATGCTCGTTGAAATGCTCATCTGGAAAAGGGAAGAGCATTCGGTTATTACGCCCTCTGGGGTGCTGCTCCATGTTTTATGGGAAATGGGCCACTGAACAGAGGTGCCAGAGGAATTCAGGTTCAACAGATGGGCTGACAGGAGTGTGGCAACCTGCTTGGGGTGAGCAGCTCCTCCAGCCTGGGGGGTACATAAAACTTCAGCCTGTGTTTGTGTCCCTTCTTTAAATGGAAATGTTCAGAAAAAAAACCCCAAACTAAAATTAAAACTTTAACATGTGAGGATTATTTTGAGAGTGGGATGCATGAAAAACTTTACCCTTTGCTCTCACCTAGCACAGATTTCCACAACCCTGTCACTTATTTTGCTGGCTTCCACCAGGCAAGAAGCATGACTCTGCATTTGCATGTGACAGTGTACTTTCCTGGCCCTTGTGTTTTCAGTGGGACAATGGATATCAGCCACACAGCTCTTGCCCATCATCACACCACCTCCAGCAGATCTGAGGGGTTCCCTTGCCATTTTCCCCAAGGGACTAGCACTGTGCTCCAGGGGAAATTGTGCAAAATGGCTGGGGGGCGGGGGGGGGAAGAGACCTCTGCAATCCCAGAACTCATCCACAGCAGCAGGTATTTTATGTGTCAGCTGAGCCAACCAAACATCAAACGCACATCGTAGAAAAATCTTTTGTTATATATCAAGTTTTTCTGCTGCTAATAGTTTTTGCAAGAGACCCTGGGACTGGAGCTGGAGCTGGGTTTGGTTACAGAGCACAAAAACAGAGGCAGGCAGGAGACAGCCACTGGAGCCAAACCAGCATGAAAGAGTGCCCAGGGAAGCAGGGGTAGGATGTTACTGTCCCCATGTTGACAAGAGGGAAACAGTCTTTACAGTCCTTTCTGCTTGCTGCAAATAATGAGCCAGGGGACAAAAACCAAAGCAAAGTAACTTCGAACGCAGTGTTTTAATTACTCAGGCTGGGCACTCTGATTTTCAGTAAACTCAAAGATGGAAAAATGAACAAACCCTTCATAAGAGGCACAAACTAACCCTTCAAAAGAGGTGAATGACCATATCAGACTCGAGCCCTGATTAGGCAAATAAATGCTTTGCAAAATCAAATTACAGTTCTCACTGTAGCCAGATATGCACTCAGTGAGCTAGTCTGCAAGGCAATTTGGAAATACCATACAATGGCGCCTTCAGAAGAAAGGAAGACATTTATCATAAGATCAGTTTGGCTATTATACATGCCACATTCCTAATTTCCAGCAAAAGAAGGTAATACCCCAATGAGCATAAATGTGAGGGGCAGAGGAGAGAAAGATGAGATGGGGAGCGTGCAGCCAGGCAGCTTCCACCTGGCAGAGGAGGCAGCAGGCAGTCAGATCCCTTCCAGCCCTCTTCTTCCAAGCAAAATTCAGAAATCAGCCTTTTACCAGTGTTTTTTGTTTTATTTGTTTGGGGTTTTGTTTGTTTGTGGTTTTTTAGTTTTGGTTGGTTGGTTTTTTTGATTTGCCACCTAAAACACCATGGAGCTAAGGAACTTACAGGACTCCTATACAGGGACTGAAGTTCCCCCAGTCCTGCCTGCCTGGGGCCGCCCAGTCTCAGCACATGTGTCTGAGTGGTTGAGACTCCCTCTCATGGTGCAGCTTTCCAGCCTCGCCTTTTAAACTCCTCCAGGTTGGATTTCCACCTGATTTGCAACCTAAATATGGGGTTATAATTTCCCTCCTCTCCTCTTCTCCACCTCATAAGTAAAATCCTGTGCCTCAGGGCACAGTGTGACAAAGCATCCTTAGGTATCGTCACTGCCTGGCTTGGAGTCGCTGCAGAGACCATTTTCTGTGCCTGCCACAGGGCTGTTTGCCCTGCTTATTGCAGGCACTTTAAAGTAAATACTGGCTTAGCTTTAAACACCATAGTGATGCAAAACACGCGCTTAAAGCTGAGCACATGCGCACAAGGTTTTGAAAGTTGTGGCTGAGGTTACTTGTTAGATGTCTGCTCTCTTTGGGCATGAACACCACCAATTTAGACAAGCAGCAGTCTATGCTTATTTGTTAGAAGGTGATTTTCTGTGCCATGAGGAATAAAGGGTGGATCAGCAAACATAATTTCAGAGAGGTATCTTTACTAAAAAAGGACCAGATAGAAATGCAGCGGCTGGTGCCTTGATGTGCTGCAGTTTTGAGGTTGCATTTAAAATGTTGGCTTTACACTGCTAAAGCATCCAAGAGGATTTTTACAGGAAACATTATTTACTGATAGTGGGCTTTGAAAATCAGAGAGAAAATGAGCTTAGTAGTCGATCAGGCTGTCTTTTTAAAAGGAAAACACTCTCTAAATTTTCACAAGGTAGGGAAAGCACTGCTTGATTGGCATCTCTATCCTTTCAGAATATTTTCAATGTGACCAGAGGGAAAACTGCAGCCAGTCCCACTCTGGTCCTTCTTCAGTGCTTACCCAGGTTTCTTTTAGCAAGTTCTGGGGCTTTGTCATCTGGTTTGTGTATTGAACACAGAAAATTGGAAACAGCTGAGCTGCCTCTAAATGGAAAACTGGTTGTAAAAAGACAAAGAACAAATAAGTTGGTATATGAGCTATTTGTATAACAAAAGAAATAGTGGTGATTGAAATAGTGTGTAGTTCACTATAAATGTAAACGAGTGACCTAACATGACTTCAGGCACAGAGTTTCAGCATTTTAGATTCAATTCCAAATAACAGAAATCTGCAGGAGTTTGCTTGGACAAAATAAATCTATAGATGAGTGGGAGGAATTTATTTTCTGGAGTATATGGATGTGGTTCCAATTACACTTCAGTGGGCAAGCATCCACTTAATATCAAAAGAAAATGTCACATTAGATCCTAGGAGAGGTTTAGTTAAGCTGCCCTGATAATACACCTGCAAACAATTCATGTTTCCTGGCCAGGCCACAGCTGTGGGCTTCAGCTGTCCCTCACAAAGTATGTTTTCACAGATGACTTCAGGTTTGTCTAATGCCTCTCCGCTTGAGTTCATCAGACACCTGAAAGCTCTGTAAGATTGTCTATGATTTTTCGGTTTTGAAGGATATTGAAAACTGTTGCTAGGGAAGGTGAGGGGAGAAGCCCACTCTCCAGTCATGCTAAAAAGATATTTTACACAGATTTTTTCCAAAAGCTGCACATTTGTGAAAGTTCAGTTCTGAAACCTCAGTCCTCATCACCAAATCTTCCTCTACAAAGTCAGGCAAGTCAATACAACTTTTCCCTGCTTTCCTCTGCTGAGATGTATTAGTCATATCTGATCCAGCTACTGGGGATGTCTCTGATCTCCCCTTCTGTTCTGCCTTCAGTCTCCACGGTTCATTGGAAGACGTCAAAGCCTCATTGAAGATGCCAGGAAGGAAAGAGAAGCTGCAGCTGCAGCTACTGATGCTGCAGAGTCTACAGAGACCATTGTATTTGAGGAGAAGGATGGGAGAGCCATGCTGAATCTCTTCTTCATGCTCAAGGGAGCCAAGACTTCACCGCTGTCCCGTGTACTTAAAGTATTTGAGGTGAGTACCTAACCTGTTGTATGGTAGTCGAGGAATACACTTCAGGTTTCATGACTGTTCTTGGAGAAATATCACTTGAGCCTAATAAAGAAGAATTAGACTAGGTCTGCTTACTGCAAATGATCAGTCTGATGTCCCCACAGTTACACTTTGCTCATACCCCAGTGTGCCCTCACTTGCCATCACTAAGAATGAGGCATACCTCTGTCTTGCAGTGCTGTTAAACTCTGGGCTTTATTTTGCTTAATTATTGGATCCAACCACACAGGTTCACACTTCCAGTCCACACCCTTGTGCCTTATAGCATACTCTGACAACTCTCTCCACTGTTCAGCGCTTCAACTTCGTGTGAAGGGCTCTAATTCCACATTCAAAGCAAGCTGTGCACTTTGCCTGCCTGCAGACCAAACTCACCTTCCTTGTGGGTTAAGGCTTTCACAGTCTCTGAATGGCATTGACACACTGGTCCTTGGCCAAATAGTTACAGGAACTACTTCACCCTGGGTGTAAAACTGGTATCTTGATTTCAAAATTTCCTCTCTACTTCAAGGATTGATTTGATTCACATGTTAAAGGTTCTGTTTGATTCCTCTCCCCGAGATGCATCCTGTATATGCCTTTAATACCAAGGCAAACTGCTAACTGAGGTTTTTCCCTCTAGCCAGCAATATACTGTTGCATTATATAGGATCTCGGTACCATGAATGGAAAGACTGGTGTTCTTTCCATTGGAAATAGTTGCTATCTATTTAAACAGTAATCAAAGCTTGCATATATGTAGTACATTTTCATCCAGAATGATTCAGAAGTGTTTTGCAAACTGAGGTTCTGAGATGTGTTTTATCTATGGTAATTTAATTTCACTGACTTCAGCGGTGATGGGAGAGGACAATTTGTTCCTGATAATCTGTTATGTGGCTTGTAAGGGGCCTCTGGAGGTCTCTAGTCCAACCTCCTGCTCAGAGCAGATCTGGTCACAACAGGTTGTTCAGGGCTTTGTGCACTGTACAGTAAACCCACTACTTAACAGCTGTTAACCTACAAAAAGTATACTTATCCCTTGGGGGATATTTCCCTGAAATTGTAGGGCATTCTAGTTATTCATTGCCCATGCAGTATTATCTCTGATACTCTTATGAAAAATGTTTAAGTTCTTCAGCAATTACAAAATGTCTTGCATCGCCTCTAAGAAGACTGTTGCAAGAAAAACTATTTTTTGGGAAACATATGGTTCTTGTCTCAAGACTGAAAGAATCTCTATGAAAAACTTAACTGACAAAACTCTTAGTGCTGCCATGACTGGGGTCTCCTGCCCAGAAGTACACGGGCACCAGATAAAAATCTATCAGTGTAACGTTCAACAGGCTGCTCAGTGGGTATGAAACAGATGTGTGGGCTCTTGTACTTGGTAGATTTTATGTTACTCTACATTTAAACTCTGTAGTTCAAATATTTTCAAAACATCAAGAGAGAAGCTGGGGCAGCTTATGTTCAAATATTGTTTATTTCATCCTGGAGCAAAAAAGCTCTTTGAGCTTGTCACAGAAAGAGCTTTAAATATAATAAAAAGACAAGCATGTCAAGCCCCAACAGAGGAAGATTCATTTCCCAGATCCCTCTGGCAATGCAGGTACAAGACATGAAAGCAGACAGGCATAATGACATTTGCCTCATCATGAGCCAGGCTTCAGGGAAGCTGGTTTCACTCTTCTCTATGTGTTACATGCAGCTAAAGCATAGGTAATGCAATCATAGCTGTCAGATTAATGCAAAGGTATTGATTGTTGAGGGGACAATGTAATAGTGAAGTTGGTAGGTACATTAAAAAACACAGTCCTAAATTTAATTTACCTGTGGCATTGCATCTGTTCTTTCTCATCTTTTTGCCTCTGATTAACAAAAGAGATCATGTCCCTTCCTCTATCAAAGGTCTTCCAGGGACTTTGGAAAGGTTGGGTCATTGCCCAGGGACTTGGACTTGTACTGCCAGTTTTCACTGAGCTAAAGAAAATATCCACAAATCTACCAGGGCCCTTTGAAAGACTGTAGACTCCATTTTGTCTCGCTCTTATTCCATGGAGGAATAACGAGCCCAAAGGACATCAGTTCTGATAGTGAGCCCAAACCGAAGCTCTGAGGGCGGGTCATGCCATCCCCGCCGTTCAGCACCACGGCCAGCGCCGCGCCGCCGGCCGCGCCCGGGCAGCCCCTTCGCCCCCCACCACACCCCTCCGAACGCCACCTTGGTCTTGGGTGGGAGGTGGAAGAAAAGGGGGCCATGAGAAGTGGCACTTTGCCACATCAACTTTCTCGCTTGATGTGGTCTTCTTTGCCATTGTGGAAGTCTTCTGTTGGTACCTATGACCAGCCCAAGTGGCTGCCTGTGCAGAAGGAAAAACTGTGGAATTAATGGGTAAGTGCATTTACACTGGAGGTACAGAGGGGGCACGAACTAAACGACAAGAGGGAATCCATCCCAGACTGGGATTGTTAAGCCTGGAAAAGAGAAGGTTTTGACGTGACCTAATTGCAACCTGCCAGTATCTGAAGGGGGCCTACAAGAAGGATGGATGGGAACTATTTAAAAGAGTATGTAGTGTCAGGACAAGGATGAATATCTTCAAACTTAAAGAGAGTAGGTTTAGGTTGGATATTAGGGAAAAAAATTACTGTAAGCATGGTGAGGCACTGGAACAGGTTGCCTGGAGAAGTTGTAGATGCCCCATCTCTGGGAGTGTTAAAGGTCAAGTTGGATGGAGCTCTGAGTAACCTGGTCTACTGAAAGCTACCCCTGCCCATGACAAGGGGTTTGCAACTAGTTGATTTTTAAGGTTCCTTCCAACTCAAACCCTTCTGATTCTACGTATGGACATTTTTGGGTAGCTGCAGGAGGTGTCTCAAGTGTTGCTTCATGGTTTTGTTCTTTCTTTCCATGTCCCAAAAGACATTTGAAGCTAAAATTCACCACCTGGAGACCAGGCTTAGCCGAAAGCCCCGTGAAGGAACTGCTGAACTGGAATACTTTGTGCGCTGTGAAGTCCACAGCTCTGACCTCAACACTTTCATTAGCTCCATCAAGAGGGTAGCAGAAGATGTGAGGACCACTAAGGAAGACAAATGTAAGGAACTTACAAACTTTTTCACTTGTGAGGAGAGGCTGAGCTCTCCCTGTTGAAAAAGGGTGGCGATTTCGTTATTCCCACTAAAGGGAAAGGGCTACTCTATGCTAAATTTCAGTAAACCAGAAAAGACTGCCTCTGGGACACCTGAATCCTGAAAGCCACTTCCCTCCCTGTCCGTTTCTCAACAGACTCCATTGTTCATAGCCCATTCTTCTGGTAACAGATACAAAAAATAGAAATAGGAGATTGAATTTCTTGCTTGTTCACACCTCTCCTAATGAGCTCTCCATCCCTACTCCAGTGGAGTCCAGAATCTTTCAGTAAAATCCAATTTTCATCTCCTTCTTTATTTTTGTCACAAAATACTCTGCTGAGAGACGGGCAGGGAAGTCGTGAGATGCAGATCATGACACTAGACATGACTCTAGAACAAAGACCATTTAGATTGTGGAATTACTGCCCAGAAGGCACAGCTGTGCCATGTGCTGTTTGTTGTGTGTGTGCATTTGGCACATGAAATCAGATGTATCTTACTCAGCCTCACAACCCCTTCTTATTAGGGAGTGCTCCATCTTCACCTCCACAGACAGATTGTCACTTTCTCTCTCCCCACAGTTCACTGGTTTCCAAGAAAAATCTGTGAATTGGACAAGTGCCACCATTTGGTCACCAAGTTTGACCCTGACTTGGATCTGGATCACCCGGTGAGTTAGTCTGCATGGGCACACCCTCATACTGAACTCCTGAGCTGTCCCACAGAAGCAGGGAGTTGGAGAACACCTATTAGTGCAGCTGATCAGTCAACTACAGTGAGAATGACACCTTGAGAGAAGTTTCTCCAGCCAGCGATGATCTTTCTTGCATGAGAAATTTTAGTAACTGATTAAAAATCCTATCTCTGTTCCTATTTGCCGTCACAGGGCTACTCTGACCCAGTATATCGCCAGAGAAGGAAATCAATAGCAGAGATTGCTTTTCACTATAAGCAGTAAGTCTCTTTCCTAACATTCATGAAGGGATAACGACATGTCAATAAACCTGTTGGGAAGTCATTGTACTACATTTTTGACACTTCTTTCATGTTTTGTCTCCCCATTCAGCCTTTCCAGCTCATTTTGTGTCTCTTTTCTCTCTGTTCATTCCAATCTCTTCTTAATTAAAAAATATCTGTTTTCATTAATTCATCCATCGATACAGATATAATAAGAATAAACTTCCTGCATAAAAAAGCTACATCCATCAGATCTCAAACTTAATTTTGAAATGTAGCACCTCTGTTAGAATGGCACCTAGTTTTGACTTCAGTGTTTCAACTACTGAAAAACTATCACATGCTCAGAAAATTTGTTCCAATGCTTTATTGGAACCATTGTTCCAAAGAACAATGTGAAAAAAATGTGGGTTTTCTTTCTAAACTGTACTTTGATAGCTTTAGCTTTTACGCAGTGGATCATACATGCCTTTCATCTGCTAGATAAAACACTGCTATCAGAGATTTTATTTTTTTCTGCTATGAGGGTATTTATAGACTAAATGGTTCACCTCCAAACTCTGTCTGATAAATTAAACAGATTCCAGTAACATTTTCAACATTGTCTTATATAGGTTTAAGACTATTCCTACTTAATACTTCTGATATATGCAGTGATAGGACTCAGTCTGTTCACTACAACATCAAAGAGAGCTCTAATATTCAGTTAGGTTTGTAAAATATTCCCTATATCCTATTCAGTGACACTGCCTTTCACAGTAGCATTCTCTCTGAGCAGGACTTCAGGTACAGATGAGCTGTGCTCACTGTAGTGAGCTGTGCTGAAAGCAGACTACAGAAATTATATGGATCACTTTCTTCAGCTACCCCTGCAATTGGTGAGATGCCAGTACAGTTTTCTGCTGTTAGGTTTCATGTTCTTTGCTGATTTGAAGCCCAGAATATGGACACTGAAGGTTTTATCCTGTATGAATACTAGGTGCACAGAAAGTCACTGTGCCAACAAATGACACAGGAATAAACACTGTCCTAAGATGATGCACCAATTTGCAATGTCTTCTCTTACATCTCACCTGCAGGTTAATATTTATGAGCCACTGTGTAGTGTCTCTTCAGGCTGTTAATGGAAAAGGAACTATGCTTTTACACTGTAATATATGAATACCTCACTTGTTCAAATAGAGAATAGAAAGACTCAGGAAATACAATTGCTAACTATGATGAGAAAAAGCAAAATTGTCGGTCTTCTTTAGTGCCCACTTACATCAACGTTAAGATTTTCCATTCTTGCCATCCTTAATATTACTGACAATATATTTTTCTGCAGTTCAAATGCATTTAGCTTTCCTTCTCAGCTCATTTTATTTCCCAGCTGGTGGTTCATTCTTGAAGCCACCAGCTCCCTGAACTTCAGGCACATGAAACGAATTTATTTTCATACAAAGTTTCTTTTTTTCTTTTCTGGTAAATGTTGTTCCTGCTAAACCCTTGCTCATCCCTTGATCATTTATAATCTGACTAGACTAATGCTTTTCTTCGTGTCTATGTTCTTGTTGCACCTGTACAAACGACCCAGTACTAAGGCTTTGTCTTTCCTGTCACCCCCTTGTTTGGTTTAAAGAAGATTGGTGAACATCATGCAGAGCTTCTCCAAAGTGCTTCCTTCTCGAAGGGAAGAGGAGCCTGGCATGTGCTCTGCTCAGTAATGGTGCATTTGCCTTGCAGTGGGGACCCAATCCCTCACGTGGAGTACACAGCAGAGGAGATCGCTACCTGGTGAGTGCTGATTTGATTGAGGATATTTATTGGCTTCACCATTAGAAGTTGGGAATCAAAACCCAAACGGTTAAGGTGTGACCTCTTGAAAAATGTATCAGGAGCGCAAGTATCCTACTTAATAGCTTGTTACAAAAGCCAGTAACATATTGCATGGCATTTTATGGTAGGGCCACATCCAGGAGAGCAAGCTACGTCCAAAACAGCGATGCTCTGTCTCCTCCTTTCTTGGGGCTGCATCAACAGCCCCTTCACACTGCAGCCCCCAGGAGCCTCCAAAGGAGCCTCCACAGAGAGCAAGGTAGATAATTTAGAGTCCCACTTCTCTAGGAGTCCTGACTTAGTAGCAGCCTCCAAACAAAGAGCAGTTATCATAGGTGCAGAAAGAAGAGGCCAGTGGTGAATATCTGCATGGTACCTCCCTGGACTCACTTAGGAAAACACTTCCTTTGAGGATGATTTTTTCCAGGAGTGTTGCTGCAGGAGTGTCTCTGAAAACAAGGCCAACTCATATGAGCTGAGTACACAGGCTTCTCAACAAGGTCATCTCCTGGTTCTATTGACTGTCTTCACAGTGCAACTTCAGAAGTTTACCTACTGGGAATATTTTAATTCCAGTTAATACCTTTTATACAATTTCCTGACCTTCAAGTCAGAAATAGGTCTGTGCAGATACAGCTGCTGCCTTTGCAGGCTTGTTTGAATGTGTGTCTGTATGTTTACATACCTCTATCAATGTGCAGAGATATAGCCTTAGTGGTGGAGAAAGGCAAAAGGACAAGGAGCCTAGAGGCCTGGGTCCCTGGTAGTGCATAACACTATGACAGGAGAGGACTAGACACATCAAGCCACTGAATGAATGCCACCTCTTGTCCTGAAGGAAGGAGGTGTACAGCACCCTGAAGAGCTTGTACCCTACCCATGCCTGCAAGGAGTACCTTGAAGCTTTCAGTCTACTGGAGAAATTCTGTGGCTACAATGAGAACAACATCCCTCAGCTGGAGGAGGTTTCCCGCTTCCTGAAAGGTGGGTATGAGCCTGGGGGACCCAGGTTCAGGGTGTGCCAGGGCTCCAGCATGGTGGTGGCAGCTACGGATGACAGCCTGAACCCAAAGGAGGAGAGTGTGAGCTGAGATTTTGGAGGAGAGCTGGTGGTTTGTGCATTGCCCACAGAGGACAGAGGTAGAGCCCAAGTGGTGGAGATTGCAGCTAAGCACAGTGGGCTGCAATTGAAGATCAAGCTCATAGCCAAATGATCCCACTGAGCAACTAAAGAGCAGATGTTGTTCCCTAGAAGGAGCAAATAAATTAGATTTGGCACAAAAGAAGCCCTTTAGTTTCCAGTGCTGGGAACACAGGACATCAGCACAGCCCACGGGCCATGCTCCTCACAGAGATGGTATGTGCTGTTTCAGAGAGGACTGGCTTCCAGCTCCGGCCGGTGGCTGGCTTGTTGTCAGCACGGGACTTCCTCGCCAGCCTGGCCTTCCGCGTCTTCCAGTGCACGCAGTACATCCGCCACGCCTCCTCGCCCATGCACTCCCCTGAGCCGTGAGTATTGCCTGGCCCCCATGGCCTCCCCCTCCTGCATCTCTCACCTGGCCAGCAATTACCCTTTCTCCCCATCGGACACACTCTGTCAGCTGCTGACTGTGTTTTCCTCCTTTCCGCCCTGACATCGGCAGGGATTGCTGTCACGAGCTGCTGGGGCACGTCCCGATGCTGGCTGACAAGACATTTGCCCAGTTCTCTCAGGTAAGGTGGCCATCTGCTTTCTCACTCCTGAGAGAGCAGGGCACAAGGTGGGATCCCAAACCCCAGTGTCGCCACCTAAACCCTTCCTTGTTCTTATTGAACATGATGTTCCAGTGATGGACTGAGAACTCTAATACTAACTCTGCAGCAAAGTGTTTTTAGTCTGAGCACAATGAAGTCCCATCAGATGCATGGCACAGCAGGACAGCAATATCTGTTATCTCAAAGCAATAAAACAGAGAAATAAATGTGTAAGGCCCGCAGACCAAATCTGATATTTGCCCCTTCCCTTCTTTTCCTAGGACATTGGGCTGGCATCTCTGGGAGCAACTGATGAAGAAATTGAGAAACTAGCAACAGTAAGTTTACATCTTTGCTGGATGGCGGCCCAACCCCTCCAGCAGCACTTCTGTGGTATCAAGGGGACAGGTTCAGCCTGATGCTCCAAGATTTGCAGGCTCAGAGCCCCCACCTGAGCTGCCCCAGCCCTGCTCTTTTCACGATGTCTGTGCAGAGCAGAGATCAGTTTAACAGCAGAGCTTGCTTGCACATTAACCCAATTTTCTTGGGCACCAGTAGTATCACCAAGCATCGTATTTCTAACAGCAGCATTGCTGGAACTCTTTGGGATGGGATTAAATGACATCCACTTCCTTTGGCTCTCCCTCAGCAAGGTGACCTATTCTGCTCCAAGGGCACCAAACAGCAGCATCACACAGCAGCTGGATGCACAGGGTACAAGCCCAGGGATGCAGACTCCATCTGTCCTGGTGCAGCAGCAACTTAGTTTAGCACTTTTCTCTGGCAGCAAAGGGTGCAGGGTATGGAGAGTGGACAAAGTGTCAGGCATCTGTTCCTTTAAATAGCCGCAGACCTTGGCCATGATGTAAGGGCTCAGAAGTGACAGGGAGATGAAGATGACGATCTGTATCCTCCAGGAGTTTTCCCTTTTCCTTTCACAGCTTTACTGGTTTACAGTGGAGTTTGGGCTCTGCAGACAGAACGGAATAGTCAAAGCCTACGGAGCCGGGCTCCTGTCTTCCTACGGGGAGCTCATAGTAAGTCCCAGCATAATTTGCCTCTCTGCTCTAGACTTATAGAGCAAAACACCTTCTGTTTCAGCACCTCTACAGCGACTTTACCCAATCTGTTCTCCACCTTTGTTTACCTCATATGTGCCCTTCAATCCCCTTAGTTTCATGCTGCCACTTTTCTGCTGTGTTCATAGCACTCCTTGTCAGACGAACCAGAGGTGCGGGATTTTGACCCAGATGCTGCTGCTGTTCAGCCCTACCAGGACCAGAACTACCAGCCTGTTTATTTTGTGTCTGAAAGCTTCAGTGATGCCAAAAGTAAATTGAGGTAGGACTGGGCAGTGAGAGAGACCCAAATAGAAGGAAATTAAAATATAATATATTGAGATAGGGGTTGACAGTATGGCTGCTTTCAGTTCAAGTTCTCAGAAGTACTCTGGAAACTCTTGTCAGGTCTTTAAAGGTTAAGTGATTCTCCAGTTCCTATGGGGTCCAAAGAGCCCCTACAAAATCTGCTGGACTCAAGGTCTTGCATGTGGAGCAGTGGGATGGAATGGAAGGCATTCTTGGGGATAAGATCGAGGGAGCAAGAGAAGGGACAGATCTAGCTAGTCTGCCTAGTTCTCACAGGCAGCAGTTACAGACTATCTCCAGTTGCCAGAGGAGGCCAAGCAACATAACAGAGGGCTGGTGGTCCAGAAATTGGAGACCCAAACCATCCACCAGGACCCCCTCTGCTACCTTGCTGCAGAAGGACCAAGTGGTATAGGTCAGGTATTTGCTGTCCTTTGTGGGAGCATCTTGCCAGCATGTGTCCTTCTGAAACATGGGCTTCTGCATTATGTAAAAGTTTGCTCTGTGGGTGAAAGTTTTAGGAAAATGGTGAAGAGCTGCTCAAAATGGTGGCATTCTCTGAATTTTGGATGCAGAAAGATGTTGTCTTTCTGAGCAGCTGCTGTGCAACTTACCTATTTATTATTCAACCAGGGAAAAGACCTAAACAGGCAGGAGAAAATACAAACCCAGAAAAACAACCAAACCCAGGCATCATTAGTAGCTCATACACAAACAAAAAAGATTTGCTTGGCGTGAATAGATTTATCCAGGGGGAAAAAAGGAACTTTTGCCTCCTAGGGTTAGTGAACACCAGACAGCATCTCACCCGTGTAAATGTGTTTCCCCATCCCATGAGACTGTGAACGGGATGGTAAAAGCCAGCTCTACCCATGGTCATCTCTTTAAAAGAGCATTTTCTTGGTCATACTGAGAATTGCCTACAGGAGAAAAGCTCAGTCCTTTAACATTCGATTGACAGAGGAAAACTTTGCCTATACCATTTTTATCTTAGCTTAGGAAAGAGACAGAATGAGGTAAACATGATGTACATGACCTTGCAGTTCCTTCAAGAGCGGTATTTAATATAAATTAAGAGGACTGCTATATTTTAACTTCTGCTTTTATTACCCTCACTTGCACTGTTCACACAACCTGGGGTCCAGCTGCTCCAAAGCAAGCACACACTAGGCTGCTTTAAAAAAAACCAACTGCTGCCTAATGAGTCATTTCCTTGCATTTAAAAAGGAAATATACACCACATACACAGCCAAGATTAGGCTAGAGGGTCTTGACTGTGGCAAGCTTGACTGTGACTGTAAACGATCCTCTTTAAAGAGCTCAGAGACCACACAGATGTTTCCCTCTGGGGTGAAAACATTAAAGCATCTGTATCTTTTGCATTACTGGCAGCTGCCACCATGGACCTGACTATCAATGCTATTCCTCAAGAAAAGCCTCTTTTCTCAGAAGGGGTACACTCCCCCAGTGCCCTTCCAAGCACCTATGTCATATTTATATGCTTCAAAAGGTGTCAAGTGATCACACTCACGTTGGAAGGCAAGTTTCTAGCCATTAGCAGTCATGGTTGTGGCTGACGGCATTAAGAAGAGAGGTGAGCTGGACCTTACCTGGTAGAACTGAGATAAACCACATCTTTCAGGAGATGGACAACGCAAGTATGCAGGAAACCCCTTCATTTGCACATTTTTGCTGCTTTCCTGCAAGAATGGCAGCTTCCTGCCAGTGTTAGCCTGCACCTTGGACCTTGTTGCCCCTTGGCCCTATCTGTTGTGTTTTCCCCCAACCCCTTGCAATTCCATACTAAGCATGAAGTACCAGCTAGAGGAACATCTGCCTCCATCTGGGAAAGGGCTGTGCTTTCCCGAGCCCTGTGCCAGAGCAGACCTGTGGTAGCCACAAGAGGGTAGCCTAAGCTAAGCAATTCAGGAGCGAAAGGGTGAAGCCTCTGCAGAGGCAAGGATCATGCCTGTTGCTATTGCTGTTTGTTCCCTCATCTTCCCAGGCCTTTCCAGCATGAGATTGTAGCCATGAGTACCTAAATATAAACTCCCAGCTCCATATTTACATAGCCCCAAAATCAAAAAACCCTACCTTGTCAAGTATACAAATCTTAGCATTGGAAGCAAATGTGGGCAACTTTGTGGAAACCTTATGCTTGACTTGCTTTCACTTGACCACGTAATTCTCCATTAGAAAAGTACCAACAAGGTCTTGCTCTTGAGAGATATCAGGTGAAGTCAAGTTCATCACTGAGATCTAGGCTACAGTTAGCTTTTTGTATGGTAGTGCAGCTTTGCTCAAGCACAAGGCTCTGGTGATGCTATTCTCATCCTCTGGCTCAGGTCTGAGGCACTGCCTGTCAAATCTATCCTTAAGATGACACACAGCTAGTTTCCCCCTCCCCAAGTACAGATCAGTCAATAAATGAATGTCAGAAAGGATTTAGTAATATAATGCTATAATACCGTGGGCTTTCCATGCAATTAGCTACTAAATCTCCTTGGCATTTTGTGAAAAAGAAATTGAAGCAGAGGGTGCCTGGCAATGGACGTGGAGGTGACCACTTCAGTGTACCCTCTGGTTTGGTACAAGCACATGTATTCAGCCCACAGAAACTCACAGGCATACTCATAGTTTTCCTTGATGAACAGAAGGGATTTCAACTACTGCTATAGTCCTGTGGAGCTGGAAAGGTGGGAAACCAGAGCTTTTGTGCTAACTTGGAAACTCTGCCTAAAGGAGGCATTAACCTGTTGTGATCTTCCTGGGTAATTGGTGCTGGGTAGGAGGGAGACTCAGAATCCA